ATGTGTGTTACTAACGAACTATACTATTTAATTATGCTTACTCGACTAAGTTTTACTTGAAATCCGGTTCTCCCGAGGCTTCCGACCTACACACCATAAACAAAGAAAAAAAATAGAAAAATACACGAAAAACACACGGAAACCAAAATAGAGCAATTCACGCAATAAACTATAAAACAAACTAAAAACTAATGAAACAACCTAAAATGGGAGAAAAAGAAAGGAAAAATAAGACCGAAAAACGCAACAAAAATGGGACAAACAGTTGGAATGGTAGTCGATTGTTCGGTGGTGCATATTGTTGAGGTTGGGAGTAGGCTTGTTGCGGTGCCGGTTGGGGTGGATAGGTAGCTTTCAGGTCCCTCCATGAAAAGTTAGGGTGGTTTCGCCACCCAGGATTGTAGGTGTTCGAGTAGGGATCGTTTTGGACCCGGGGGGCGTACTCTTGGATAACATTGATGTCGTAGGGGACTCCTTCAAAATTTGGATCGTAGGCCGGCCCCCTATAATGTGGAAACTCGTGGCCTCCATGGCCGGCCTCTCCACAACACCCGCACACCTTGTCTTCCCCGGCAACGGCGCCATGTGTTTTGTAAAGATTTGGTGGGCAAGGGATAACCGAGTTACCTGAATCGGGTCGATCTTGAGGGAAGGCTATTCGGAGCCTTATCTAATAGTTTATTGTCCAAATAACAAAAAGATCAAATAAGGTCCTAAACATTCTAAGCAATTGATTGGAGGGTTGATTATCACTAAACGAGCACTAGAAAACGAGTAATTAACTAAGAGCAAGATCAAATCACGAGCAAGTAGCAAGGTAGATCATTGGAGTCTCATGCCATGACCATAACGGGATGATAATCAATCGACATAAGGAATAAACGAGCTATGAGCATTAGATTGCTAACCCTAGTCGTCTAACCCTAAGTGATTAAGCCCTAATCGGGTCTTAATCCTTAAACGAGATCAACATGCAATTAACTCCTCTATCTACTCAAGCAAGCAATCACGTTTCGACTTTGCAACCATCATCAATCAAATCTGAATTTACCCTAATAAACATTATAAGTAAAAACGGAGCAAAAACTGAAGTAAAGAGCTGTAAAACTAAATATTCATCCTTCCATTGCGTAGACGATGAAAGACGGAGTAAAAAGCTTGAAACTTGAAGGAAACCAAAGTCGCCGGAAAATCTCCCGGAAAATAGCATAAGCTCCTAATCTAGAGAGCAAAATAAAACATAAGCTAGTTCACAAAAGGGAAAAATGAAATAATGAGTAGTGGATCTTCAAAATGCAAAGGAACAAAAATATATATAGTCTAGACAAAACACACACCAAAACATGCACACTTAATGAGACACTCTCGACGTCTCCACAGAACTTGCGAGCTCGCAGCGATGATGTGCACGGGCGCACGGGACTCGGCAGCACTCTCGACCTCGCATGGATTTCTACGAGCACGTGCAGCAGGCGGGTGAGTGCGGATGGGAAGCACAGGCGCGCACGCGCAGGCACGCGCAGGACTTTGCACGGGAAGGACATGCTCTCGATGTCGCGGGGGCGAGCGCGAGCACGCGAGTGCGCTAGGCGCTGGGCGACGTGCTCTTGATATCGCGGTGACTTCTGCGTTCTCGCGAGTGATGCAGGCGGCACGGGCGCAGGGCTCTCGAGCTCGCCGGCTTCTCCGCGAGTTCGCGAGTGAGAGCGATGGGCACGAGTTAGGCATACACGTGCGGGCGTGGCGTGCGTGCGCGCGAGTTGTGCAACACGTGCCCATCTCGACTAAGGACTCAACACGTTCGACTGGAAATGGTTCATTCGAAATGACTCGACTTGGCTCGGAATTGACTTTGGAACACTCGTCTCCACTCTCCTCATGCATCCTCGAAATAAACCTGAAATTTTTCCATAAAACACGGGAAAGTACGCCAAAATACAAAATGAAACGAAAAACATAAAATCACACAAAATGTGATAAAATGGACCGGTCGACACTAAAACGAACCTAAAATCGACTCGAACACACATATAAACACATAAAATAAGCACAAAAACATAACAAATACTTATTCCATCGACCAAGTCATCAAACTTCTTTATGAGGTCGAGCTACCTCAGGGATGGGATCTTAATTAAATCCCTCGGACAGGGGATTCTTACTGCCAACCTCACTCCGGTTACTATATCTTTTTTCCTCGACCACGCTGTAGCCTGGCTAAAGTTGCCCTTACATGACGATCTAGTAGAGCTCAGCCGGCTATAGCGCTTGCTGCTGAACCACTTTGCCCCTCCATTAGACTACTTGTTGGCTCTATTATGATACGTCGAGCTTGCTTAGGTAGGCTCGAGCCGAACTTGTGCTTCTATTACTTCTGGATGAAGTCCCAAAGTAGTTCATACTACTTTTCAAGCCGTAACGGCGCACACTTTTTAACACGATCTAAATCCAACATTCATAACTGGAAAAGTAAATACTACTTCGTCCGACCTCCACCCAATACTTTTGATTTCTCGCCAGAGTGGCAGCACGGGCTACCCTCCCAACGCAAAAACCCCATATGAAAGGTCGAGTATAATGCACTCATTACTGAGTGGAACAAACGACCGCTCCACGTGGTGAAGCTTACTTCAAGTCTGCAGCTCCTCTCCTATTTCAAACTATCTAAATGTGTGGCTAAACCGGTAGCTCTGACTTAGGTAGGCATCTAAGATTGTTCTCTTGCCATGCAGCCTTCTATTTATATTCCTCAACTCCCTATGCAGAGTCTTTGCTCAATACAGTTGCTCCC